CACCGCACCTTCGGCACACACACTAGGAGTCAGTCATGCTCCAACCCTAATTTAACAGGTCCCGCTGAGCGACCACAAACCCTAACAGCGCTATCGCAGCGGTGAAACCGCACAGCTAACCTAACAGCCACCTTCGTCCGCGTAAAAACGCCCATGAACCCGCGGCCTCTATCCCGGGCGCTCCTCCCAGCAGGCACGAGGCAAAACCAACTTCCGCTAGCCTGTGACCGTTTGACCGAGTATGGCAGAGGGCTGAGCCGATCACTCTCTCTAGGTCACCCCCGCCCTCTCCGCCCCCTCCCCGCCGAGGCAGACGCTCGGGCCAGTTATTCGCTCTGCATGAGCCCTGAGGCAGGCGATCCGCCGTCCGGGCGCCCGGGGAGGGTGCGCCGGGGCGCCGGGTGGACTACGGGGGCGCCACGCCGACATAGTCCCGCTTCTGAGGGCGCCAGTGTGACCCAGTGACGCGTCGTCTCCGGTTTCGCAGGCCGGAACGGTTAACGGGGTAGCTCCGACGCATCTGGCGAGGTCGCTGAGTAGTTCGGGACATCTCCGCTAGGCGGCGGTGGGCGCGCCGGCAGCGGTTGGGCTGGAGCTCGCGGCAGTCGAAACCCCGCCGCTCGCCGGCTGATCAGTGAGCAGTGAACGTGCACCTTGCTCACCCGAAAAGGAATGCACGGCTCATGTTTTAGTCAACAGAGAAACCAACTGATGCTGCTTTTTGATCAGGGACACACGACCGATACAACTGGGACAGTGGAGCGTCTGGGAGACAACCCTGTGATGCACCCGGCGATGCAGGACATTGGTCAGCGCCGCAGGGCGCTCCGTGCCGGCACGTGCTCAACTCACGCACAAGTGGGTCAGCCGGAGGCCGGCGCAGAGATACCTCATTGCATACGCCGCCCGGGAGAGCCCTCGCACACGCAGCGCATAACTGCAGCGCTAGACTTGGAAGCGTGTGTGGCGCTCCTTGCGTTTGGGATTTAGGAGGAGGCCCTGGCAAGGATTGCTGGCCTCATGTGCCTCGGTGGCCCAGAAACACTCCCTCTTTTTACACATCCCTCCCTCCCTTCCCCTCACTCCATTCCTTTCTCCCTTCCTTTTTGTTCCTCTTCTTCTTCAGTTTAGGCCTCACTTCTCCCATCCCTCCCTCCCTCTATCTCCTCTCGCCGATTCCCTCGTCCTCGCTCTAACTCACTGTCGGCAATGCCGGGTCCTCCCTTGGCGGGGGCGTGGTAGGAGGGTCCGTAGCTGGGCGCCGAGTAACCGCTGCTGCCCGAGTCGTACGAATCGTACGAGCTGCGGCGGAACAGGCTGCGGAGAGAGGGGGACGCAGGTCAGTTATGGGTCAGGTGGGGAAGGGGTCGTCACAGGTCAACAGAGCTCTGATGATGAATTTCATGATAATTGGAAAAGTGAAAATAATTCAACGGTATGCGTGTGACTGTAACACTTTTGAATAAAGGTTCTTTTCATTATAGGTACAGAGCTTTTCATTGAAGAAACGGCAGTGCTGAATAATGAAAGTTAACTGGACAAGCTCAGCAAAGTGAAATGCATTGTAATTTGATAAAGGTAAGACTTTCAGCATAGGCTATCGATTAAAAGAAAACTGATGAGCGGAAGCACAAAACTATGCGGCAAGCGGAGCACGTAGACAACTCCGGACAAAGGCGGAGCACTACTCACTTCTGGACCCATCCGAAGGGCGAGTAGGAGGCCTTTTTGACGGGCCGCGGCCGGTACTGCTGCTGATAGTAGTTGTTGCTGTACTCGGGGGATCCCAGCTCCTGAGCGTACTCAGTGTCACGCTTCTGGAGCGAGCCTGCGGAAAGGAGAGATAGTGTCAGACATGTGGGCAGGCGTAGGGCCCCCTCGTCTAAAGGATTTTTTTGCAAGTATGAGAAAAATGTCAAACATAAGAACAGACATAGGGCCCCCTCGTCTGAAGGGATGCTGTGGAATGGTGAGAAAGATGTAAAACATCTGGGCAGACATTGGGCCCCTCGTCTGAAGGGATCCTACGAAAGTTTGCTAGAGCTGTCAAAGGTCTGCTTAGACATAGAACCGAAGTTTATTGGGCTCATATGTATTTATTCGCTAGGGGCCATCCTCGCTTACATTTGCTTATTTTGGCTTGTCTACGGCTAGAATAAGAATGTCAACAGGAATGTGTGGTTTGAATGCTTGTAGTTCACCGATGAAAGAGCTGTGCAATGTCCTTGATTCATTGCAAAGTGTTGCAACAGATGTCGCTTGTAAGTGGGTGATAATCATCCAACTAACTGCACATCCCTACCGCATCGACCATCTGCCTCTGGTGAAAGCCAAACGAAGCAGAAGACATACATCTTCAGCTTCGCAACACACTTTTTCTAACCGTCACACACAATTCATTTTCATCATCTTCGGATCCGAGTGAATCCCGGACGCTGCATTAGACCGTTACAAACAGCTGACTCTGACTCTGACTCTCGAATTTGTACATTTCCACCACCGCCCTACGGTGGCAGCACTGAACAGACCCACACTCCACTGATTGTGCAGTCGTCTCGGCTCGTTGCTCCCCGAGAAAGTCTGAGAGATTCGCCGTGTGAGCCCGCTGCAATCGAGTGTGCAAGCAGCGCGCGCTTTGGTACGCTTCGGCACCCGCGGTGGGAACTGGGAACCCTTCACCGCCTCCGCCACCGCAGCTGCCACCGCCGCCGCCGCCGCCGCCGCCGCTGACCGCTCGTTGCCGTTCGCTGTCCGGCAGTCTGACATGCCAGCTAGTCGTCCCACTGAGCTAGTGGCCTGTATGTCCACTGAACTACAGTACGCATATCAATGTGGTCTGTGGGCGACGACTCGGCACGGATTCCGACAGTCTCCATGTGGTGGGGAGAGGAGTGGGGGAGAGGGGAGAGGAATGGGGAGAGTGGTGGGGCGGTGGGGAGGAGGGGAGGCTTGAGATGCTGAGGAGCGGCTTGTGAGGAGAGGAGGAAGTGGGATGGACAGAAGAGGGGATAGGATAAGATCGTGAGGTAAGGGAGTGGAGAGGTGAAGGAGGAAGAAGAGGAGCGTGGCGGGGCATAGTTGGATAGATCGGGAGCGTAATGAAGAGATAGAGTGTGTGGGAGAGTGAGAGGGAGAGAGGGAGAGGGGAAGATAAAAATTAAAGAGCAAGCTGAGCTGGGTAAATGGATCGAAGAACAGAAATGAGGCGATTCAGGCGGAATGCGTGATTTAGAGGGTCTGCGAAACCCGATAAAAGAAAAGGGATAGAATAAGAACATCTGGACCAAACCGTTCAGCGCGCTGTGCAGTTGCGTTAACTGGAAGTGAAAGGAGAACTCCACGAGAGGGAAATAGTGCCACCTCTCATCTCCCATCATCAATCCGCTGTTCAATGAAGCGTGTTAGACTGCACGTCAGCAGTCTGCAGATCATCGGTGGCCGAAATTTCTCCCGGAGAGCCCCGTCCCAGCAGCAGGGGTAACGGTGTCACGGCTGGATGAGACGATCCATCTGTCACGGGGCTCAGTGACAGGTGTGACAGGTGGGACACCCGTCACCTGGTCTCTCTCTCTCTCTCTCTCTCTCTCTCTCTCTCTCTCTCTCTCTCTCTCTCTCTCTCTCTCTCTCTCTCTCGCAGACCCGGCAGGTAGCTTAATCAGCAGGTGTTTGTGCTGCTGCCCCTATCAGCATGGACCATCAACACGCAGCACCAGCACATTCGTTCGTCCGGAATGCCCTACAGAGTCTCGTGGCCCCAATTGCCGAGTTGACCCGCACTAGGAGAGTGTTCCGCGCTAGACGGAATGCAAAGAGGCAAGCCTAGCAAGGCGTTGACATTAGAACGACTGTATCGAGTAAATTTAGCACGGTTTGGAAAGAAATATACGTCGCCATTTTGATTTAACAGTTACAGAAAACCGGGTTAGCGATGCTGATTGGAAACCGCACTGGCTTGCTGAGGTGGAGAGAAGCCAAAGTTAACTGGAAGCATAACCAGTGGGAATTATTACCTGATGGCGTGTGGAATCGCGGCTCAATGTCTGCCGATGCGGCGGGCGCACGCTCTCCCCGGGCTCTGGGCCAGTTTCTCCGTGCAATGGCCTCCGAGGAGGCGTTCGGCCCCGGTGGGGAGGTCTTAGTCAGAGCGACCGCCTTCAAGACCCGTGCCGGATTCAGTAATGAGGTGTAATTGAAGCCTGGAACGGGATGTAATTGAAGCCAACCTCCGGACAAAGGTAAATGATGGATGAGCTCGAGAAGAGTGTAACGTCTCTTCATGAATCCGCCCCGGCATTCAACGCCCAGGGGAAGAGCGAATTTCCAGCAACCCGTTATCAAACATCCTAATGATCATATCACTTCCTGTGCTGCATAACTCTCATGGCGATCTCTCTGTGGATCATTGCTGGCCATCATATCGTGCAGTGGTTGTTAGACCAACCTGACAGATCATTGTATGTCGATGCATCACTTTCACTTTCTTCTCTCGGTCTCCGATGCGGAAGAGTTGTGGCAGTGTGTTGCTGCAGGCGGGAAACCACGTGCATTGGGGCCACGCTTTCTATGCCGCGGGGCACATGACAGTCTCAACGCTGGCCGAGAAGGTTGCGGCTCGGGAGGCGGACTGGCGAGCGTCCCAAGCTCGAGATTTGGTGGTCAGTACATGGAGGCTGATGCAAGACGCCACGAGGGAACTTCCTAGCTTATCTTATGCAATCAGTTGTGATGTTTTATAATTGGATTTTTGAACGTGTCTCCTGTAGACACATTTTTTGGGCTGGTGGTGAAAAGTGTTGCGGCGTTGGGTAATAAAGTTACAAATAAAAAGCTAGCGGGGATATTTATTCATCCAATGAAAAGTTGAAATTTTGCGCTGTGAATATCGTGAAATAATTGATCTAAGAGTAAATTCAGCGGAATGATAACAAAACCTTATCAACGAATATCACACGATTTGAACCGAACTTTGTTGAGAAACCATAGATCGGTTATTCGAAATGCAAAAGAGTAAAATGTGAGCAGTTAAAAAAAAACACATTTTGCAACCCTTTTGGTTGAAATTTTAAATCATGAACTGTGAAGTCTTGATTTGCTGGCTGCTGCTAATCTATATATAATATATGAACACCTGTCATCTTAGCATCAACCCGGATGTTTGTGAGCTCACGAGGAAAAGCAGCCTTCTCCCATCTGATCTCAGAAGGAGATGTTATTCCAGCCACGCGGCGCCCTCGTCTCTTCAATAGGGGCGGCTCTACCTACAGAGAAGAACCAGAGTGAAAGCCGGTGCGCCCTGCTCCCATCTTCGTGCAGTAATGTGTTTACCCGGAGCCGACATCGGGTCAAAGGGAAACGAAAGTTCACCGGGATCAGGCGTCTGAATTCATCGCTGTTTGGCCGGCGACAATGATTGAGTGGAATGAGGCCCGTGAGCTTACAGGGTGCATAGAATGCAAGCGTTATTTCATAGCAGAAAAAGACGCGCTCTGCTATGTAGGTTAGACTAATGCGCCATTCCTTAGCCCGCTAGTCGAACCCTCTCGTAGACTTATTAGATTATCGTAGTCAACTAGTCACCGTCTATATCCTTCCCCGGGGGTTTTATATTCACCTTGACAGACCGCCACGCAGGCCAGGGCGCAGATCACCAGTGCAGACATACGAGCCATCGCGGATCCTGAAAGCAGGGCATGCCTCGGTTAATGACGCGTCCAATGACACACTTGCAAAGGCGAGGTGAAAGTGGTTCGTTCACAGCGCCACGCGCCGGACGATGAATAATTGGTCGGCAATTCGGTGCGGTCAGTGCAAGCCGCACAGAAAGTGCCGTGAGTCGACGGAATTTGGAGTCGAGCTGACGGAGAGTCTGGGAGAATAGGCGAGTGGGAAGTCTGAAAGGAACACCGTGTTAACACTGGGTAAATATGCGGAGGAAACGGGCGGATACACTGGCGAGTGGCGACAGGCTGGCTCGAGAGGTGATTCAGCGTTTGACAGTCAGCTGATGAGTAGAAGGCGAAACACGTGACATACATTGTGGCTTAGTACCTATAGTTAGATACGAAATATCATTCATAAACCACATGAAAAGGAATGATTTTGTGATTTTTTTGATTTTGTGAAAACGTGCTAAATTGGAAAACATCGAACGTTACAGTTGAATTCAACGTTACTGTAACTTCAGAGACTATATATTTTACCGTTTATGAAAAGTTGCTTGATAATCGCAAACGAACAATAAACCATTTACTTATTAGAAGCTCTTGGATAGATCCTGCACTGTAGCAAAATGTGTCTGACGGGACTAGAAATTGACTGTACGTTGGATAACTCAAAAAGACTGAGAATATAAGATGATTTGTTGTTACTATGTGCAGGTGCATGGTATAAAAACAATAAATAATGATTTTTTATGCTTATCCATAGCCTTTTCTGCCTTCAAACAGGTGGATAAATTGGCATATTCAACCGCATGCATATATTTTTGGCATTTACATTTCACTTAGAGGCGGGGCTCTAAGTGAATGCTGCACCATGTTTTAGCTCTTCGCAGTCTCAGTTGTAAGAATGCATTAGTTTAGTACCACATTGTGCATGCAACTTTCTTTTCTAAGTAAGCCAATAACTATTTTCAATTTGTCTTTTCTAGAGAAAAGTGGGGTTGCTCAGTCAGACGGGAATTGTAAGGGAATCTGTTCATAAGAGAGTCACATGAAAAATAAACGGCATCGTCTTCGGGATAACTTCAGTGCGATAGAATTTAGAAAAGAGACGAGGAAAGCAGAAAAGATAGAACATAAGTGCAAATGAGAAAGAGGACAGACCACAAGAAATACTAATAAACTGAGCTAAGAAAAGAGAGAAGGAGAGACAGGGAGGAAATGTGAGCGAGATAAAAGAAAACAAAGAAAAAGAGGGAAAAAAGATCAAGCTATACAGAGATCAAAAATAGACAGAGGAAGAGACAAAAACCGAGACAGAGAAGACAGAGAGAGGGAAGACGGAGAGAGAAGCCGGCGTCAGGCTGGCAGTCGGGCTCGTCATTGCCGCTCATTTGCATTCATCGCGGTCATCGGCAACGCCCCAGGTGACGGTGAAAGAGAGAGTTGGAGAGAGGGCGAGAGCGGGAGAGAGTGTGAGACTCGGCTGTGCAGTGAAATCGGCCCGCCCGCCGCGCCGGCCCCGAGGGCACACTGCCGGATGCAGGGCGGCCGGCACAGACACCCCGTTCCCGGAGGGCTAACGGTGAAATCAACGGAGTCTGAGACCGCCTGGGATGATGTGGTGGTAGAAAAGACTGCACTAGAGGCCCGCTGTTTTGGGTGGGGGGCTTCAACAGGCCCGGGAAATGGCCCGTGGGGAGGAAGATATCTGTCATGCGTAGAGGAGAAACGAAAATAGCAGGATGCAGCGTGGTAAATAGAGAGATGATTGCTATCAACTAGATGACTGGACAACAATTCTTTTGAACGTGCTCAGGGTAGGGTATTACGAGAAAATGGAAAGTCTTGATCCACAAATGGCCGTTATTTAGATGCAGGTGGTTGTTTAGCGATGACTCGGTCGCTGTGAGGCATTGTGGAAAGTAAATTGCGATTTTCTCTAACAATGATTTACTTGGTCACACATGATTTCGAAAGTACGTCCTAGGTATAAGTGATTTTGATTATTCGTAAAAATATTGAAAAAGGTAAAACTTTAATTTTTAAATTTGGTCCAAGCCATCGACTGTTGATGCTTATTGTTAGGTTTCTAGACTTCGAACTTCTCAATTGGTTAACAAAGTGGTAAATCTTCTCGCCCGCATGAATTTTTACTGCACTGCTTTACACTGTTCTTTACTGTAGGCACTTCTGCCTCATTGGAAAAACTGTTCATCTGGTTACAAAAAAGGAATTAAATGACATTGAATTTTGTCATAAGGAAATAATCGGACAATTTGCATGAAACAGCATAAGCCATAAGCTTCGAAAATTCTTTGAAGCTTTATAAGCTTTGAAGCTTTATAAGCAAACGAGCAATCGAGAAAATAGGTTTCTTTCTTCTTCATGTAATTCGACAGTCAATAGAAACTGGGTTAGTGGCTGGCGAATTTCATGAGCAACGGGTCGGGTGCAATGCAGGAAGACATGGTACAGGCTTATGACATTCAGAACGGCTACTGCCATCTCTCGTGAAATACTACTCTACAAGTATGAAAGCCGCCACTACTAGGCAGCTCGGTCGTCAGAGGTAGAGTGGGGACACTTTCACTCAACAGATGTCAGCACCATTGCGTCTGATTTCCAGCGCAGAGGGCGCTGTCGCGAGCCACCGTCCTGGCCTGCCACCGCACATCAGTAACTTACACTTCAGCTTCTAGTCCTGCCAATAGATCGCGACACTGTCGCCTCTAGAGCACTGCCGCTACCCAAACCCAGTCACTCAACCGCTATCTGCTCATCTCCAGTCCTCTCTCTCCATTCCTCCACTCCTCTCTCCTCTGCAGAGGCCCCACCTAACTGCACCGAGATGGCTCGCCGCAGCCGGAGGGGACAGGGCCACAGGGGACCGATTGGCAGACAAAGCGCGACACCTGCGCGCCGCTGAGGCTCGCTCGCTTGCAACAAGTCGTGCGGGAAACGATGAGTTGCATGCCAAGTCGTGCGAGGCAGAGTGACGGTGCCGGAACGTGGGCTCGGAAGGGAGAGGCTCAGACTGAACTACTGCACTGGAGACAGTCGAAGAGTGCTACCTAGGCTTGCGGTAGACGGTTCGATATCCTAATAATTTTACTGCACTAAAAATAATAAGGGAGATGTAATTTATATGGAAGCAAGATATTGCAGCGGCAATACAATGTGAATAAAATTTTGACACCGCAGCAAAAAGTGCGGAATAGTTTTTATGTATTGATAAACAAAATAAAGTAGTGTATTTTTATAAATCAATGCAATATCGGACATGTTTATAAGAATTCATGAAACGTGTCCCGGCTGGATAAATGGCATCAGATTACCCAAACCGCAATGCAAATCGGGTGACAACGTGCCACACAACTGACGCAAAATGTGTGTGATTTTTCCTCGCCAACGGTCACACGACAGGGACGGAGGCGCCGTGGGACCGACTCGACGTATGATGTATGACATGAAGCGACCTCGGCAGGTCCTAGACTAGCTCATTCACAGTGGCTTGGTCATAAACAGACCACAAATGGCCGAAGAAAAACGCTTGGTTTATTACTCTACTAGCTTGAGGCTGCGGGGCAGTGTAAGCTTATTTTATCGTTGCATGGCACGCATGCTAGAATGACCGTTGAATACGGTGGGCAGAACTGCAGGATGACCCGTAATGCGTTGAAGTGTCTTTGACACAGGGTTAAGACCATTTAGCTGAGATACGAGAAGAAAGTCAGCGAGGGCGCGGCACAAACATCCTTATGAGGATGCTTTCGTGGGCTTTCCGTGTCGTTGAGAGGCGGAGAAAGCGTCTCCCAGCGGGAAGACATGACCTCATGGGCGGCAGCCCTTTCACCCTCACGATCCTGCTCGTAAAATATTACACCCGCCAGCCTCAGTGAGGCCGAACGCACTGCGGTTCCGTATCGTGGATCAGCTCAATGCCGTTTCTGTCATATGCCTTATCGCGTTATGCACATAGCTGTCAGAGGCACGGAGATGAGGTACAGAGATTGGCGTGCGCGGGCGCTCGGAGATGGGTTAGTTTCTTTTGCAGAGATGCAGTCTCGCCGGGAAGCGGGTGGACCTAGTTAGGTTTTTGTGCGGCGTTGGGGTTCTCAGGGATATGAAGTTACCTTTTTGTACGCCATTTGCTGATCGAAACGGGAGGTTTTAACAGGGCATCCTATCTCAGAGATAGGGCGAAAAACGCTCAATGGTGCTCTTGAGACTACCATAAAGTTTTCTCTCTACTCAGGAATGTTACCAATGTATGCTAAATTACGTTGACATAGCTTTGTAAAGCGACCAGTTCAACGGGAACGCCTCTTTGAGATGCAAGGTACGTTTATAGACTGACCTATCATTGGTCTTTGGAGCTGATCTTTATCGCTATTTTAGCATTCTGCTGAGTACGCGGCTGACCGGGTCCATTTGCCAACATGACAAGACAATCCTACATCTCTCTTTAGGTCCACGCAGCCAACTGCGCACTGCACCTCTCTTCAGACTCTCCTATCAGTCCTATCACCTGCATGATTGGATAGATTCGCCTCAGGTGTGAAGCGCTGCGCACATGGAAATCGGCGGTGACCTCTTTAAGGCACCACACTCTAAACATATGAGCGGATATACTTTCCCAATTAACGGCCTAAACTCTGATTTACGCCGACGGCCTAATAGCTGACTGCGCGACGCTGTGGCGCAGCCAAGAAAAACTACCCATCTAAATGCAAAACTGCGGGCCGGTGCATCGCACGCGTCGAGCAGCACGATTCATGACCTTCTGCGAGCGTCTGCAAGCTGAGCCCACGGCAGCGTGCACCACAAGGAGCCTTGCAGGAGTCCTCCAACACAGAGCTATCCTCTCCATGGAGTGGCCATCCTGGGCGGGCAGGCCAGGTCCGGCTGGGAAACCCAAACGCCCCCGGCGGCGACCATTGCCCGAGGTCAGGCCTTTCCGAGGAGGCGGACAGCTGCGCCAAATGATCACCCTCCCACAGTCGTGACGTTTTGGACGCGAAGGTCACGAGGTGGACAGTGGTTAAGCGATACAGGATGTGAGATTGCATGAATAATGTTCAGCGTTGAGTTGAGCTGCATGCAACCGTTTGGGAAATAGCGAAACTCCTTAATTATTTCGGTGTTTAGTGCTCGTCATGACATCATGAATGGAAATAGAACAGAGCAACGGTGTGAAGTAGTATGTGTTCTAGGAAACTCCGAACATAATTCATCGAAGAACAACAGGTTTCGAACGGAAAATGTGAATAAATTCATTTCAGCTTATAACCCTCACTACTTGTCTCGGACTAAAACAAGAATTTCGTGTGTGCTGAGCAAGGACGCGCAATGTTTGCCGAGGGATTCTTTGCCAACTGGGACCTCCTTCAGATGACGCAGTTCTACCGTTCAAACACTCAGCCTGAGCTGCGGGCGTAGTAACTCGAAACTCGCCGTGTAAACATGGGCCATAGCTTCTGAAGGAGGCAGAGCACTCTCACTTTACTCATGGAGCCATTGGGATAAGCTACTACCGCGATGCACTTGTTTGGCTTTGTGTGCAGAAAATGTGACATTTTAGCAGCACATGTAAGCCCATTTCTTGATTTTGAAAACAATGGTCATACAAAAATAAGCTTACGTTTTCGAATTGTTTGGACACGCTTATAGAAATTACATTGATTTCCCCAAGCATCATAATTTTCCGTAACCAGCAAAACGAAAACAGCAAGGAAACTGAAGAGTGAAGTCAATTATCTAGCATGAAACACGACATAACTGATTTCATTACAACTTGAACCAGGCGGCACTGGTTCTCTAATCGAAATACCATCTCGCCAACGCATTGAATTCCATTTGCACCTGTCCTGCGCGGCCGGGGCGGCAGTGAGTGTGCCGTACCGAAACTGGCCATGACTCGGCACCTCAGTGGGGCCCGCAGCACACATTAGCATCACGTTGCTGACCTTTCCCACTGGAGGCTGACACTGACGCAGGGGCCTCGCCTGCACTGAGGTAGGACGCCTGTACGCGCGGCTCAGGGCCACCGACCGCAGCCCGGCGTCGGCTAGGGAGCGCTAAAAGAATTCACGGCGATTCTAAACCAGTTACTGAAAAATGATGAACGCAAAGAAAGTGAAAATAATTTCTTTTTAATAAACATGGTTTAGGGCGAGGCTTTGCTATAGCTTTTTGTCCAAATTTGTTATGCATATTTTTGCAGTAAAGATCATCAGCAGGCGCATTGGAATTGCAATTCGATAAATACGGAAAGGTCACTTATCATTCATTTGGTTAACAACCGGTCTGTGTGTGTTGAGGCAGGCGGCTTTGAAGGATTACGCTTACATTACAACTAGCAAAACCAGACTAACCGGAAAGTTGGGCCTCAGTAGACAAGAATGAAGCCAAACCAGAAACTAACCGGAAGATCCAGATATACCGGAATACTAAGAATAGAATCGGCCGTGAATTCTAAACGAGTGTTTCGACCAGACAAACTGGTCATACCTGTACTAGCCCATATCATCCATGCTAATTCGGTCAGAACGATGGCGTATGAGGTAGTAAAGATGGTACCTAGTCATGCTTTGGCAAATGGAGCAAAAGAGACTGCACTCAAAAGTGTTTATCTTTTACCAAGGATTTCTGATTTTATGCGTCATGACTGAGAATTAATCAGAAGCAATATCGACCTTTTTGTCTATTCTAAATAAAGAAGAGAATAAGCAAATAACCTCAAGAAGAAACGTCGAGCATGAATCAAGATTAATATGCAAACCCGACAGCGCGCCCGCCCATGCACATCGAACATAGAAAGGTCACGGGCTGAGGTTCGCTGCGCACAGCTGCAGAGATTACCGAGCCTAACCGTGCGGAGGGTACGCCATGACCGCCTTGAGAGGAGGTGAGTCCGGCCACCTGCAAACTGCACTCATGTTATCGTAAGTCTCGATTTTTTTCTGGAATACTGGAATAACAAATCTGACGAGCCCATTGAGAAAACCGAAACACTCCATTTCTTAGTGCTCGATGCCATATCGCGTGCCTATGTCGCTTATGCATTCAGTTGGTTTCGCACGGCGGTTTTATCGCCATCACGACCCTTTAGACGGAACAGACTGGCTCAGAGCGAAGTCAAGCGTTACGAAATGTCTGGCGGTGGTGGAATTTCCAGGGCGGTAGCGGTCACCGGGGTAGCACGTGCAGAGGAGGTCGTGATGCAGCAGGAGAGAGGGAGGAGCTAGATGGGAGAGTCGTGATACACTCGGGTAGAGGGAGGAGGAGCTGCGATGTGGCTGGGTAGAGGAAATATGGTGGTTGAGGGTGGGATGGATCTGCTGTTTAGTAAAAGATATAGAAATGTTTTTAGATGAATGGTATTTATTATATTTTCTCAGATCACCTAACTTTAACGCTGTACGAATTCTAAAGCGGACTTTAGGTAATTATTCGAGCACTATAACATCAGCCTCAAAAGGATTTTCATGCTTGAAGTTTTAGCCTTTGATTTTAAATGAAGTTTTACCTTCCGAGCTCAGTTGGATATAACTAGGAATGTAAAGTGTTAGCTAGTATTTCTACTTTAAAATAAAATCGCTTATCATTTTTTACATTCTTTCTATGAAACCTTTGCTCTGTCTTATAGCAAAATGCTTAAAAACGTTTCATTCACACCTTGCCTCGGTGTACAAAATCACGTTCTCTTCAACCCGGAAATCTGTTATCGACTTTACATTAAACTTGAGCCCTTAGACCAAAATATTATGTATGAAACGAACCCGTAAAAATTCTGTTGCTGACGTTTATGATTGTTTTGTAATTTTTTACCTTTGCTATTTTGACTGGTAAATTGTAAAACATATTTTTCTGCTGCAGTAGGAAAGGACGGATGTCAAAATGGTGACTTGCGTATTTTCAAAAAAAAAAAAGAACACAGACTTGAGACAGACAGTGGAGTCCCTCCCACAGAACGTCAGCCCGCGTCGTTCACTCACCGGTTGGGGGTAATTCCACGGGTTCGGAAGATGTAACCACCACGAGAGCTGGCCGACCACTGGGATGCCATTCTCCGGCCGTCTGTACCTTTTATACCGCCCTGTTGCGTCCGGGCCGCAGTCAGAAATTTTCATTGAAAACAAGGCCACACACTCGCTCTGTGCAGCATTTTCGCCCACTGACTGACTCGGAAGAAAATTTCACCGAGCGAAGGCTGGGCTTCCAGCGGCCATGCACCGCCCCTCTGGTGGTCAGAAAACTCGATAATCCGACACACACCAGCCAACAAACGTCCCTGCAGTAATTTTTCTTCAACATCGGTGTCGTTATCATTTACAGAACATTTCCATCTCAAAATTATTTTAAATTCATTCTCTATCTATTTTTAATAATTTTGAGCCGGTGCTGGATAAACGAGTGACTTTTGTCCGCGAAGACGATTGAGCCCTCTCGGAACGGTGGGCGGAGCCTTGCCGGCGCGCGAGGTAAAGGAGGTGCTCGTGCGCTCCGACCACCGCCAACCCGAGCGCCACATCACTGGGGCGGGTCGAGGTGATCGGAACAGAGTCGCCAGCACCAGCCAGCACCAGCCAGCACCAGCCGGCACCAGTGGTGATCTTCGTTGGATTTCAGTGATCAGTGCGTCCGATATTGTGCAGTGCGTCTCTTGCGAAGTGTTTGTGCAGCGTTGCGAGGTGATTGCGACCGGTGATAGCGAGCGAAAAGTGGCTGATGTGCGGACAATCGGTCGGAAAGGCAATATCGAAGTCTGGTGAGCGAGTGTGGATCGGAGGCACGTCTTGTAAGGATGCTTGTAATGGCATCACTACTGTCTTGCATCGCCATTGGACGTGCAGTGCACGTCACACTGATTTCAACAATCATCTGTTGTCAATAGCGTAAATAGATGTCTGGCTTTGTAAAGTTCTTTTTTTGGGCCAACGAAGGGAATTCCTTTTGTCGAAATGGATTAGAATATAGGCATGGACATTGGACATCGAACAGCCGTAAACAGCAGTTATCTCTACGAAAAAGCGCCACCTCGATGCATTGTTAGCAGCCATCAATATCGCTATGACAAAAAGGTAAATGAGACACCTCTATAGAACAAAAAAAGCCACACAGGCTGAAACTGAGAAGTGAAGGAATAATGACTTGATCTGAGTGTTTTAAGAATCGCTAGAAAAATTACGCTGATATACCTATTTTCACAACTAAAAGCTCTTTATTGCAAAACACATTGAATATGGTAAAACCGTAGGCGGAGGACTTTTTTAATGAAATAGTACGCAGTGAGTGCCCTTGCGAAGATATCTCGGTGTAAGAACTTTTATTTTCAAAAGGCCCTTTCCTCAATAGATGCGGAAAATACAATAAAAAGTAAATACTATATTTGTTTGTCGGATTTTCGAACAGCAGCTCATTATCAAGCCGCTTGAAACAAATCACACCAAAGTTTTATAACTGCTGCCAGCTTATTTTTTTCTTTAAAAATGTTCGGAAATGGACAAGTCTCATAAGAAATGCAAGAAATCGCGCTTGTTTTGTTCTTGCAAACCTCAAAGTAGTATCTCAAAGTACACAACACTTTTAATCAATCAAAGGAACGAACATATTTTCGGAAATGATGTATGTTGTAAACTCTCAAAAACTATAATGTGGGAATATGCAATAGTAAGCGTTTTAAAAGAATCAATAAAGTTTTAACCCTATTCCTGGCGGGGGGGGGGCCTCAGGAGCCCCCCCTGAGGTTTTTTGGTTATTTCTCCCAAACGCGTTGAGCTAGGAAGCTCAAATTTTCTGACTTTTCCTAAAAGGCTTCTACGCAACATGTCTGAAAATTTTGAGTTGATCTGACCTCAGGTCAGGTCACCAGAGGCGGTTTGGTGACCCTACCTCAGAAAAGTTTGCAATCACGCCAGAGCTAGAGTTTTTGACCGATCAATTTCTTCTCTTCAGGGTTTAGTTAGGGTACCAGTATGTGCAATTTGTTTATCTCGGAATTTTGATATCGGTGACCTAAGGTCAGGTCAATTTCGCGACCTCCCCATTATAAGTCAATGGGGGAAAAATCAACTCCCTGTTTTTACCACTAAAACGGGTCGGAATGGCCCCATATACCATACATGACTTCATATACGATCAACCTTCACTACCTTGAGGTCTGTTTTGCTGTTGGGCAGCTGTGAGGTCATGTGACGTCATCAAAGGTCACCAAAGGTTTTTGGCCAATAACTCCGTACAGGAACAAGATACAGACGCGTGGATGGTCTCATTGTGTTCAGCTCGTCAAGACGCATCGAATGATATACATGATGACCTCGAGGTCACGTGACCTCAGGTCAACCTTTGACCTTGACCTTTCGAGGTCAACATATATATCATTCGATGCGGATTGACGAGAGGATCACGATGATGCCCTTAGTTTGTTCCTATCTTGACTAATTCGAAAGTTATTCGAGAAAAACTCTCTCCATATCTAGCGCCGCCATTTTGACTTTTTCGACCCCTGTGACGTCATCTTTGACCTGACCTGAAAATGACCTTAGTAAAAATTGTAGATCTTGGCCGTGCGTATCCGATGCCGTTTACCGCTTGTCGCTATCTTGCTTCGTTCTCGAGATCTCAGGGGGGGGGGCCGAATCGGCCCCCCCCCCCCCGCCAGTTTCTTGTCCCGGCGGAGCCCGCCAGGAATAGGGTTAATACGCAGCGTACTTTAGTAGGAATCGCTCTTCAATATTTTTTATATCATAATATCAGGTGTCAAGAAAGCTGTTTCATTCTGTGGTTGAATGCTGCTATTCGATAGCCCTGTTGACATTTACTAGCAAGTTGTCTTGCTTTTCTGCCAAGTAGCACCCTCAATGTATTTATAAATCATACGATAAGGACCGTAGACGATTGAGTTTGCATTCACTATCAGACGAGACACATGTCACTAACAGACGTCTCATGCAAATTGACGTTGAAAATAAACATATGTAAATATGACTAAGGGATATGAGAATCTGTGCAACTTATAAACACATAACACAAATTCAGCGGCATTTACGGAATAATGCCACTTTAGGGCAACTTTTTACATGTTGACACTGTAAACTAGCCAAATAAAGTCATTCGCGACATCTATTCAGACATGTGTAGACCTTCAAACGCTTTGTTCTAATGCTTTAGCTGATATTGAGGGCGCATGCATTAGAACGTAAAACTAATTAGCGTTGTATTGGTGAAAGATAATATAGTTCTCCAATCAGAGATTCAATGCAAGTAGGCTTATCGGCGTGCGTACAATTCATGAGACCTATATGAAGTCCCTCAACAAGTTCTTTCCAAATGAACAAAATTGATTTCAATATTTCAGCGGTTTTCGATATAACAATCGCTTCTTGGTTGTTCAGACAGTTCTCGTTTCACGGCGTTTGCATTTCTCGTTCCAGTTAAACAAGTTTTTTTTTTAATGCGTTGTGTCCGAATTAAAATATGAAAAAAATGAAGCGCACAATTACTATCCATGCTAGGCAGTTTCTCATCGCCTGAGCTACGCCCCTCTGGCGCGATCCGGCTCGATAATTACCCATAAATTAGTCCAACTGCGCAGCAAGAGAGCCTGCGTATGGTTCATGTGCTGAAGTATCCGCACTGCGTAGTAACTTCATTGCTCCGAGAAGCATTACGAGAACATCCCTGCTATTCAATGATAAGCGATTGAAAAAGGTAGTAAGATGGTTAACGTTTGGTTAACGTTTTGATCTTATTTTGTTAAGATATTTCTTATATAGGCCGCTCATGCATTGCACTTGTGATAAACATTATCAAATACTTTTAATAAAGTATTGGTGATCACTACAAAAAAAAAAGAAAAAATAATTAGGCTTACGCTACCGTATTATGTTATCATTACAGGCACTTGACAAAAAATACTTTGTTTACTTTTATAGCTGTTTTTTTATTCGATGCTTTGTCATTTAGCCGTTTATTGCCGAGAAATGAGCAAAAAGCAAGTAAATACGCAACTATGAACGAGTTTTGCATGCAGCATCGGTCGTAACACCGTTTGCAACATGCGCCCATGTTGCTTATGCATGAAGCTATTGACTATCTATATTACAAAGATGTTCATTCCTAAGCACTGCTGTTCTGTGTGGTTGTCTTTCTGCAAGATTGGACGACTCGCATTGTTTATAACGCTGTTATCATAACATTCTCAAATAGTCGAATGCTGTCCAAAACTGAGATAATTCAAAACAGCACACCTATCCATGCCTCGTGACGGACAAAGCGTCCCACATCTTAACATCATCGGTGACCAGTCAACCGCGAACCATTCGTGACCAGCCCTTCCCTCGTGCCCACCCACCTCTCTTTTCGAACCGCAAAACCCAATCCGTATCCCTACCGACCCGTACCGGATACACTGTATCCGATGACGTCACACAGCTGACCCGACGTGACGTCACTGGCTCGATAAATCGACGACACTTCTGCCGAACAGCCGGCACTGACGTGTCGCTGAGGACACGTCACTGGGTGGATCAGAGCTAGTGTTTGCATTATGCATGGCGCAGGAATATAGTCGGGTGGCAGACATTACGAATGATTAAGTAGCTAGTCAAATGTCCTGCAGAGGGAGGTACTGAGGATGTCAGATGCTGTCTATTGTTTGTCAGTCAAGTTGTGGTTGTTAATAATTCCTTAAAATTGTGCGCCTCATATCAAGTGACGCAAGGATTATGCACTCATATGTATACGCTTGTTTAATGTGATAAGTGCTGACTGACTTTGAATCGTAATGTGCCACAGACGGCATTCAAATGAACGTGTTTCGGAATTAGCAATAGGCAGATACATTAATTGATAAGTCACTCAATAATGCACGCTGCTGCTGAGTCCGTTCTCAAGGTTGACTCAAAGTACCTATTGTGCTTACACAGGCATGAATGAACGCGATAGCTCGAGGCAAAGTACCTACCACAAGACTCTGAATAGTTGTAAGTCATAACTATGTTTCTTAATTAGACCATCATGAGCGACATTTACTCCTAATTTACATTAAATAGCATCTGGAAATGGCTAACGATCTGTATAACTGCGTTGTCACCGCATTACCGAGCAAAACGTTTAGTCGTTATCCTCGGTCATATCATGGTGTGGTAG